AAGGAGCATCCTTTCTTCCATCATCATAATGAGCTTTTGCTTCAATCTCTCATCTAGCGTGACATCACGCATGAGCGCAAATCCTTCACGCATAATCTTCTTCAACTTCCCAGCATAGGATTCATAGTTAACAGACTCAAATTCTTGTGGTTGAAGAGGTTGATCCACGATAGCCGGTTCAAATGGTAAGCGTGGTCGTCTCCCATGGATGAGTTCATACGGGCACAAAGATATATTAGGCAAAGTCCTAACGTTATGTGAGAAAGTAACGCTACTCAAAGCCAATTCCCAATCTTCTTCAGCACATAAACCTTCTCTAATAAGTATAACCAAATCATGTAATAAACCTTGATGACTCCTCTCATTGGCTCCATTCCCTTGTGGTCTATAGCTTGTAGAAAATGTAACCGATAACTTGAATAATTCATGAAAAGTTTTACTAATACCAGCTGTAAACTCACCTCCACGATCACTGTGTAACCTATATGGGACACCGTGAACCGCAATAAGACTCTTCCATAAAGCCAAAACCACAAGTTTGCTCTCTTTCAAAGGGAGAGGGCATGTTATCATATAATGGGAGAAATTACATAATATCACAAGTATGTGCCTATTACCAAGGCGTGATACTGGCAAATCTGTAATAAGATCAATAGACGTGAACTGCCAAGGATATTGCAAAACATTCAATCTCATATATCCATATGGGGCGGCCACTGCCTTCCGCCGCCAGCACGGAAGACATGAAGATACATACTTTTTTACCGATGTTGATAGACCCCACCAAAAATACTTAGTTTTAATAGCTTCATAAGTATTCCTTCGACCTGGATGGCCAGCAAGTTGACTGCCATGGAAAGCATACAATATACGTTGCTGCAAAGAGACAGGTACAACAAGTCGCAGTCGATGTTCGGGGAGTCCAACATTTTTACCCTTGAAATATAAAAGATTGTCAACAAGGACAAAATACTTCTCCAACCTTTTACACTTCTTTCGTTGATTAGACGAAAGCCGAGAAACCCCAATAACATCATTCGACTCTCTCTGACGCAGGAAGTCTATCAATATACCCCATCGATGATCCTTTTGCTGTAACATTCTAAATTCTTCCATTGACGGAGTACCATCTTGAAAATTCACCACAGCTATAGATGCTGCACATACAAAACCATCAGCGACCTTTTTGAAAGCGAACCCTTTAGCACTAGGCACAACATCCAAATGGTACCATAAATCAAGTTTACCAATAACCTGTTGAGGTCGAGTTAGAATGTCAGCTTTATTTTCCAATGAAGCACAATGAAACAACTTCACTTTATGGCGTTCAAAGGACTCGGATACTTTTTGCACTCTTCGTCGCTCTGGAGGAGGCAACTTCTCATACTGGCCATTGATCAATCGATGCAAGTTGATTTCAGAATCCGAATAGATCGAGATCAGCTTATCAGCTGGCCAAAAGGAGAGGAGGTCCAGAGTCAACACCAAAGCTTGTAACTCTTTTCTTGGGACCGTCCACTTCTTCTCATCTTCTGACCACACATGACCCTTAGCATATGCCAAAGTTGGGCCTACATAGCACACAGCTGCACAGGCAAACTCAGAGGCATCACAAAATATACTGACCCCAGCCGACATATCCAAATAACGAGCAACTGGTTGCATTAGTTCACGTAAGTTATGCCATTTTCTCAAGAGCAAAGAAAAACTCTTGGGAAGCTCTTCATCCCATCCAAACTTATTTGCCAATTGCAAAATACTTCTACCATACATAGATATTGGTAGAGCCAATCCCAAAGGATCAAAAGAAGCATTAAAATGCTTCAATAAAATCCTTTTAGTCACCACATCAGGGATAGAATCATTAAGCTTATAAGTAGGAAAAAGAGTATCTTCTTCACAACCAGTCCACCAAACACCAACAATAGACTTCGGCTCCCGTGTTGATTCAGTGATCCATTTAAGATCATTGAACTGTTGATTAGCAGGTTCCAACCGACGCTTAAGCATAGATAACGTTTCATTACGATGCAATTCATCTGGAGAATGGATACTTATATCATCCATATATATAGAAAAGTAAGGACTTTCCGTCAAAATAGAACTTAACTTCAATTGTAACAAATGTGGCGAACATTTAAGTCCCATAGGAAGCACCAAAAACTTATACACTCTATTTCGCCATACGAACGATAAATACCAAGTATCCTGTATAAATACAGGAACTCTCAAAAAGGCTTCTTGAAGATCACCAATCGTCCAAAATTTGGCTTGACGCCAATTCAATAAAATACGAAATAGTGAAGGATGTAGCCATGGACCAGCCAACAAATATGAGTTAAGACCACTAGAGCGTGCATCCCATACGGGCCGTACTTTGCTACTAGTGGCATTAGGCTTATAGACTACTTGGTGAGGAATGAAATGACGAGCTTCATCAGGAGATATCTCAACTATATAACCTTTCTTCAAGTAGTCATTAATCTTCTCATCATACTGATCCAACAGTCCAATAGACGCTAACCGCACTTCCAACCGCTTCGCCCGAGACTGAGCATTACGGAAATTCAGAGGAGGCCTCGCCTCACTCTTCCAAAGTAAGTGCACACCATCCTTCAACTGTTCTTCACAAACTGGTCCAGAGCCTAGCAAGACACTCTCAATTTGAGGAGTGAGATGCAAGGGCAAGGTACACGCCAAATCAGGTCTTCTTATATGCAATAAACGAGGACCAGCCACTGAATACTCCACCACAGCATTCAAACGGCATAGAGTATCAGAACCAATTAATAAGTCAATCTCATTAGGTAATTTCGCCTGAAGACATCGCACCGACATCAATGCCCTCGGAAGATCACCAACACCACTGGTAGATTCAGGGTGAAAAACCACCGGTAGCTTTACTGAAGTCGTTGCTTCATATGCTGTATGACCGAGGCCGATAAAAATTTCTTTAGATGATAATTGTTCAGCATCGTCCTCAGCTAACTCACCAGCAGATACCAATCTTTTAAAAACACCCATAGGAAGGAGCGACCGTGAAGCTCCTGTGTCCACACATGCGGTCAGTAAGATCCTACCAACTGACATCTTGAAACACGGCAAATATGAACTCGTACCATCAGATAAAGCAGTTACAGTAGGCCATACTTTAACCGTAGTAGATTTTGTATCGTCACCAACCAAAGTCTTTTGACTTCCAATAAGAGCATTACCAGACTCAGGACAGGAGGCACAGGTATAGAGCTGGGATTCACCACAGCTATCTCCGGG